TAAAAGGAATTTCTATTTGTGTGGTGATACATTGTGTACACTAATAAACTTATCTGGTGATCAGAGGACAGAGCCAGACACTAAATTAGACATAGAGGTCAGGCAATAGTGACACACACCTTTAAACCTATCACTTGGGAGGCAGAGATTTGTCTGGATCTCTTTGAGTTCAAGGCCACTCTGGGAACAGAGACATGCAGTGGTAGCACACATCTTTAATCCTAGTACTGGGAAGCACACATGCCTCTAATTCCAAGAAGTAAGATGGCAGGGAACAGAAAGTTATATAAGGTGTGAGTAAACAGGAAGTCTCACTCTTTGAGGCTGAGGATTTCATAGAGGTAAGAATGTAGCTGACTTGTTCTGTTTCTCTGATCTTTCAGCTTTCGCCCCAATATCTGGCTATGTTTTTTTTTTATTAATAAGACCTTTTAGTAATTCGTGTTACATATTTGTGTGGGTAATGGAATTCACTGTTTAAATATAACTTCTCAAATTTCGTTATATAGAATTAATCATAGTACTCTACCCAGAATTCTCACAGAAAATTTCTTATTCTTAGTGCATCTGGATTTGAAGGGAAAGGATTAATGCCACTAGTTCTATAAATTTATCATGTTGCAAACTATGGAATCTAATTGGAAACATTGGCAGAAATATATAGATGAGAATCCATGGGTGCTTGTTAATATCTCTCAAGGAGAAGTCATTGATTGGAGCTCTTATGGCTCCCCTCAAGGACTATATTGTCACTTAGAATTGATAAAGCAATGGGCCAATTCAAATAAAACTATGGAGGTTATCTCTGCTTTTAGAGACTCTTTTGAGTGGCATGAAGTTGGAATGTCAAGTCCTCTATTACAATTTTGTAATTCTACTCAGATTTATTTATGGAAATTGGCAAGTGCTTTTCACCCACTTAAGGCATGGAACAAAAAGTCAAACTTTAATAATGACAAATTTCATCTGTCCTTTAATTTAGATCAAATTCACACTTTTGTGGCTTGTGTGCAGTTTCCTTATCTGTTACTGGAAGGACCTGTGCAATGTCACCCTAGTAATGATAGCAAATTATAGCATCACTTGTACATCATGTACTCTTCACGCCTGTGTCAATTGCTAGTATGTCTTCAGATGTCACTTTTGAAAGTTTCTATATTCTCAGAATAAGACCAGCAGTCTGTATACCAGTGAGGATGTTGAGACCATGGCAAGACTCACTTGTGATGATGCTAGTGAGCTTCCTGAAAGAATATTAAGTAGAACACAATGAATGCTAGGATTGATAATTGCTGAGGTCCTGGGAACCACCACATTAACTGCTACTGCTACCTCAGCTGTAGTTACTCTTCATAAAAAAATTTCAAACTGCTGAATTTGTTAAAGACTGGCATATACATTCTTACAAACTTTGGGCTCAACAAAATAAGATAGATAGGGAAATAGGGATGAAATAGCTGAATTGAGACAGGTTATAGTACTCAGTGAAGATCAGTTAGAATTATTAAGAGAACAAATGAAACTGAAATGAAATTGGAAAATTACTTCTTATTGTATAACACCTTTAAGATTAAATGAGAGCAAATATGATTGGAAAAAGTTAAGATGCATTTGTTGGGTCATCCTAATTCTTCTCAAATGATTTATAATTTGCAGAAAGAAATTATAGGAACATTTTCAAAGAAGCTGCCTGAAGTAACAGGATGGATATTATAGAACATCTTGCAGATGTTGTAGCCTCATTTTATCCCAGGAATTATTTTGATTGGTTCCTTGCTTTTGTGATTACTTATAATTCTCTTTATTGTGATAGCTTTGCTGGCTTTGAAATGTATGCTGATTTATTTGCATAACACTGTTAGAAAGATAAAAGCCCATATTTACAGAACAAACTTCATAATCTGCAATACAATTGTTATTCCTAACAATTCTGCATTTTGATTAGGTGTGGATTTTTGTACTGGTGTCTGTCTAATGAGAAGAAATGTTTCCTGAATGAGGGCTGAAAACTAAGCTTACCTGTGGGTACAAGGAAATATGTTTAGTTATTTGTAGGGATTATGATAGCTTGGTAAAATGGTGGTTCTTTCTTGTCCTCCAGGATTCATGACTTCACCAGCACCAGTAGGTAGCTAGATTTCAAGTACCAGTCATGGTTTCTGTTTTGTTAAGAGGGTCTTAAGTCCAGTGAAAGAAATCTTGGTTTCCACCAAAGTATGTTTGCCACTGCCACATCCTTAGGGCTATTGTGCCAGGATGATAGTTGATGTGGTTCATAGTCGTCATAGCTGGCTAGGACTTTTGGTTGGCTCCCTCTTTGGGAAGCTTGCATGGTGCTTCTGGTATCATGAAAGCAATTCCTCAGGGAGCAATTTAATTTATATTGAGACAAGATCTCTGTATTTCCAGCTGTCTGAGACTCACTATGTAGAGCTTGCTGGCCTTGAACTCAGAGTTCTCCTTGCCCATGCCTCCTGAGTGTAGGGTTAAAGGGATTGCACGACCTTACCAGACTATACATTACTTTTTGCTATTAAGTCATTTTGTTTTGTTTTGTTTTGTTTTGTTTTGTTTTTTGTTTTGTTTTGTTTTGTTTTGTTTTGAGACAGGGTTTTGCTATGTAGCCTTGGCTGACCTGGAACCCATTCTGTAGACCAGGCTGGCCATTAATTCACAGAGATACACCTGCCTCTGCCTCAGTAGTGCTGGGGTTAAGGAACTGTGCCACTACTACCCGGCCTGACAATTGCCCAAGGTTTGCACAGCTTACTTGACAGAAATAAGTGATCACCTGGATCTCTTCTTCATTCACATTAAAGACTTCTATTACACTAAATTGGCAACTCTAATTGAAATAGATGAGTTTCCATGTGCATAAAACATACCAGATTTCAACAACATGAAATAAATAATGTAAACAGAACTACTAGTAGCAATGAGACTGAAGCAGTTATAAAATATCCCCTTAAGAAAACATCAGGACCAGATTGACAGGATTCCATCAGAACTCCAAAGAAGAAATAACAGCAAAGCTACTTAAAATACTTCTTGACATGAAAAAGAAAGACTTCTTGACTCTTAGTATTACCTGATATTAAACTAGATCATGAGCCAAGCATGGTGGCACACACTACATTGTAGAGGCAGAGATAGGTGGATTTCAATGAGGCCAGCCTGGTCTGCTAAGGGAGTTCTAGGACAGTCAGGGTTACACAGAGAAACCTGTTTCAAAAAACCAAAAAACCAAGCCAAAACAAACAAAGAAAAACCCACAGATAATATTACAACCAAAAAGAAATTAGACTGATAAGGTCGTTTAAAATTTTTTCTCAGCAGTGCAGGGTGAGGTACACCTTTAATCCCAGCACACCTGAAGCAGAGGTAGGCAGATCTCTGAGATTTCCAGGATAGTCTGGTCTACAAATCGAGTTCCAGGATAGCCAGGATTTCAGAGAGAAACTCTGTCTCAAAAAAAAAAAAAATCTATTACAAACACACACACACACACACACACACACACACACACACACACACGTACAGAGTGTATCTGTATATGTGTGTGTGTGTGTGTGTGTGTGTGCACTTCAAACAAATACTGCCCACTCTCACCTTCTAACTCTCGACTATCCTGGTCCACAATTACAGCTAATCTCTGTATTGTGCTCATTTCGATTCATTTTTCTTGGGACTCACTGAGATTAATCAGGGCCATCTGTGAGACAGTGGGTTTGGAGCTATGTGTTGGTGCCTGGTGGGCTCAGCAGAGGACTGGCCCTAAAGGCAGTGATTCTTCTCCTACAATCCACCCAGAACCAACATTGAGAGGTAGAGTCTGGGGCCCCGTGAACCTTTCCTTTTCTTAAACTGATTGTGGTCTGGTGTGAGGTCCATGCAGGTCAGTACAGCTGCTGTTGGTTACTGATTACAGTACCTGGGTGGCATGTCTTAGCCCTTCTTCCTCTTTCCCTTCTTATTCCCTTTCCTCCTCCTCTTCCTCAATGTTCCCATAGTCATAGACAGTTTTGTATAACTGATGTTTTTAGGGCTGGGACCATGTACCTTAGTCATTTTCAGCATCTGGTACAGCAAGAGTCTGTGCATTCACCATTGAATTTTTTTTTTCTCCAAACAATTTTTCTATGTTTCTATCTCAAATCACCTTTAGCATGAGTCACAGACTAACTTGTTTCTGAGATAGTAAAATGAGAAGACCATCTAGTAGTGAGAGCAGCAGTACAGTGCGTGATGAACATAGCCCTGGGCTTTTCGCAATGGGCTGATTACTGACTTCTTTTTTGGGTATGTTTGTTTGTTTTTATTTTGTTTTGTTGTTCTGTTTTGTTTTTTGGTTGAGACAAGGTTTCTCTGTGTAGCTTTGGAGCCTTTCCTGGAACTTACTCTGTAGCCCAGGCTGGCCTCGAATTCACAGAAGTCCACCTGCCTCTGCCTCCCGTGTGCTGGGATTAAAGGTGTGCACCACCACCGCCCAGCCAACCACTCACTTCTTGAGTCAACCTATTTCTTTTCAAAATTCAAGTTCCT